TTTTAAATTATTTTTTCTTCAAACCGCCCGTCTTTGAATACTACTAGTCGCTAAATTATACGTAAGATTTTTCCCAAATTGAAGAAACCTGTGTCGATCTGGATCGAGTCGAATCTTTGACATTTTGAAAAAAAAAAATCTTTAAAATTTGGAGGTGGTTTTTTCGGGTGACTTCTTACAATTACAAAATTGAACATAGAGATTTTTCCTTCAAGTGTAATTCGATCTTCATACTGGGCACTTTCATTAAGGTAAAGTAGATTCTTTTAAACTTTTAATAGTTTTCGCGCACCATTTGCGAGCAATATGTGCAATTTAAAAAAAAATACAGAAACAAGATTTTTTAAAACTGCAATTTTTTAAAAACGTTTAGTAGAGATTGCGCTAAATGTACATTATAAGATGACATAGACGCCATATTTCTCTATTTTTTTTGTTTTTTCAAAAATCACAAAAATGTATTTGTTTTACTTGTCTCGCACGTCGTTAATATTTACATTAGCAGCCATTTGTTCACATTACATTTATGAACACATGTGATTTAAATAATGCCAAATAAAATTTCTCCCAAACTCAAGTTTTGTGAAAATTAGCTCAAAATTTTGCATTTTCAAATATTTTCAAACGCAATTTTCTCAAAACTGGCTCCAATTTTTTCTTCAAAATTTCGAACTGATAGTGCTAATTGCACTCTTAATAAGACGTTAAGTTCATTTCGGGGTATTTTTTGTTTTTTCACAAGTTACACAAATGTTATTTATGATCTCTCACGCCTTTAATATGCACTTTTCTAGCAATTTGTAAACACCATTTGTTCTTGTGCGTTAAAAGTACTTCAAATGACTTTGAATGAAGTTTTTCGAAAATTCAAAACTTTTCTGTGAAAAATGGATTCAAATTTCGAATTTACAGTAGTGCCATTTTTTACAATGTGCTCCAAATTTTTTAAAGATAATTACCGTTTAGGACATGGTTGCAAATTTTTGGCAATTTCGTACTTGAGAAGGTTTTAGTGAATATTCGATTATTTTTTGTGATGAAAACACAAAGATTAAAAAGTAATCTGAGATATAAAAGCACATACTAGTTCATAGGTACAATTCGTACGGTTTATATGGCAAAAACAAAAAGTGACCCTCATTACCCTCTCTTCCCTTATAGGGTTGTAAACGATGATAACTATGTTGTTTTGCTAATAAGATCTTCGGAATTTACAGACATGGTGCACGGAAAACGATATGAGGTTTTAATGTGGGGAAATGCCTTATTATGTAATTTACGAGAAAAAGGAATAAAAAAATGCAGATTATAAAATCGAAGATGAAATTTTGAGCAGAGTTTGAGTAGTGAGAGTAAGCTGACTTTTGGGAATAATTTTCAGGGAGCTATTTCTAAGGCACTGAAAATTGGGGTATGGTCTTGTGGAACTCTATGCAGTTTCGATCTGCTGCGACCCTGAAGGTTCTCTATCCAGCACTCATTATACCAATTCTTGAAAATGTTTCGCCTGTTTGGATCTCATATACAAACTTTTACACCATTATCAAACACATTAAGTTTCTATCAGTGTGAAACAAACATTTGTAAAATATTTGTCACATATGAAATTAGTATTATTTAAAATTAGATGTTTATAATATTGTTATTATTATTACATTATTAATACAATACTAAAATGTACTTTTCAACATTAACTTTTGTCTGTTTATCTTTGCATTCCATTCCAAATATTACTTTTACTTTCATTTCAAAGGCCAGTAATGACAATAAATGTTTAAAACATATTTAAGATGTGGTTTCATACTTCTAATACAGATTAAATTATTGTTACTTACCTGTATACATACTAACATATGGAGTAATATACATAGTAAAGGGAAAGTTATGTAATGCTGTGGAAAATTAATTTCAAGTTTTCACCAGCAATACTGTATTGAGCCCCCCTGATATCGAAAAAGTGTTTATTTTTCAAAACGTCCGTCTCTCTATCTAGTGTATGTGAACAACACTAGTGCCTACACCATGCGTAGGATTTTTTCCAAATTGAAGTAATCCTGTCCAATTGACCTGAGTTGAAGCTCTGCGATTTTAAAAATCATTCATTAGTTTTTGGGTGAACTTTATATGAAGCCCCTGGGATATTTTCAACCTTTTCTCAAAAACGGCTTGAAAGTTTCTCTTTAAATTTCTTGAAAGAATATGGTAAAATAAATATATAAAGATGACATAGGTCTGATTTTCACGGTTAATTTTAAATTTTCGAAAATTTTAAATATATGAATTTTTTTCGGGATTTTCCTACAACTACAAAATTAAAGATAGATTTTCCTTCCAAATAAATTTGTTGTCCATAATTTGATCTTTCATTAAAGACATGTACATTTTTTTAAAAATTTTAGCAGTTTTTGCACAATATTGCAAGCAATTTGTGCAAATTTAAAAAAATTATGAAAACAAAATTTTCTCAAAAATGGTTCCAAATGTTTTCTTTCAAGTTGTGGTAGGGATTGTGCTACATGCACACAATGAAGTGATATAAATGTCATATATCTCTACTCTTTTGCTTTTTCAAAAATGACAAAAGTGTAATTTTTTTGACTTGTCTCAAACATTGTTAAAATTTACATTAGAGACAATTCGTTCACATTATCATACTGATGAATACATGTGCTATATAATGCCCTATAAAGCTTCTCGAAAACTCATCTGTTTTCTCTCAAAAGTAGCTTAAAATTTTGCAAATTCAGAAAAAAAAAAAAGTGCTAATTGCTCTCGTTAATATAACAAACTTAATTTCGGGGTATTTTTTTGCTTTTTCAAAAATTACACGAATGTAATTCTTTTTAAAGATCTCTCACGCCGTTGATATGCACATTTCCAATAATTTGTAAACTCTTTTGTATTTGGGAGCTTAAGTACTTAGAATAACTTCAAATTAAGTTTCTCGAAAACTCAAACATTTTCTAGGAAAAACAGCTTCATATTTCGAATTAACAGTAGCAGTTAAGTTTTTTAAAAACGGCTCTAAGTTTATCAAAGGAAATAGACCTTTAAGAAGAGGTTTTACAGTGTTTTAATGATCTTAAAATAATATTTCCACTCTCCAATAAGGAAATTGAAAAATTCAGACAATGTCAAAAAAATGTATTTTGGGCGGCAATAATTGCAGCTGGCAAGTTTGTGGCAAGCCAAAACCAAAGGAAATAGAAAACGAATACGGGGAAGTCTGCCATTCTGTAGCAGTACTAGTTTTTAATAATGTTATAGTGGCATAGATGAATATTTTTTCAATCTTCCTTAAAAGAAGTGACATTGAAGGCTGAGAACAAAATGCTGGACAGTCTAAAGGGTATTGGTAAGCCAGGTGTTCTAGTGTTAACTAGTACCTGGGTACATACAACATATTCAAAGGAAGAGTTTTATGACCTTTTTCTAGGTAATTCATTTTAATACCTATCAACTGGACTTACTATAAGTCATACAGAAACTCTCAGAAACAGAAGTGAATTATTGAACTTTGCCCTAATGATATTGTTAATGATAAAGTGTATAGAAATTGCAATGACACAATAGCTGCATTTTCTCTTCCTAGAAACCACAACAGGCTCTCTAAACACTCTTGTTTCATTGCACACGAAAGTAATATCTGGTCTCAATTTTTCATACACAAATGCGAAGCCCACTGAATACTTTATTTAAAAATTATAACGTTGACGGCATTTTATGCTGATGTCATGAAAATGATGTGCTTGAATTACATTACATCGCATCATGGCGGCTTTTGAGATGTGTCGTCTTTTCGGGCAGTGTATTTTTGCATTTTAAATTTTGTATATTGAAAATTATTGTAACAAAAAAGCATTGTCTCAGCTAATACAGGACATCTGGTCACTTTATGCATCAGGCTTTCATTGTACAAACTAACTGATTAATTTGTAGCAGCATGTGATTTTTCTTATTCTCCAGTAACAATTTTCAAACTCGTAAAATGCGTAATAAATCGTATATACGTTCAAACTCGTAACCTTTATTGTCATATTAAATCTCGAGGGTATATGACATTATGAATATGACCTAGCCTTAGCATTTATTTACACACTTATGGTGTAAAAAGTCAGTGATATAGTGATCCTATAGAGAATAAAGTCATGAAAATCATGTGCTCGAATTGCATTATACTGCATCATGGCGGGTATTGAGGTGTATTGATTTTTCAGGCGATGTATTTTTGCATTTGAAATTTTGTATATTGAAAATTATAATTTGTAATAATAATTTTCATTATGGACAATTTTAATGTGAAATACAGGTTATTTTTTCCCACACTATAGTGTGGATTTCCTTTTGAGCTAATGACAAATACTGCACACGCATCATATCACGTATTTCTGCCAAATATTTCCATATATTTTTTCAACAAATTTACTTGCTCGTTTTACCCTGAGATTTTCCACATTAACCCGAAGCTTGGGGATTACTTCTGAAACCTGGAGACTAAGTCAAACCTGGAGAGGTGGATACCCTATTTTATTTCCAAAAAGCAACTGTGCATGTCCACAGAAACATAAGCGGCTGTACAAGTAAAGCCAACAAGTAAATAAATTCTCAGATGAGAAGCATAGTAAATAAACAATCAAATGAAGGCCGTTTGTGCAAGGGTGATGATTCAGAAGCACTCTATTGTAAAGGATTTGTGGAAGAACTTGCAGTTTGTTATTACTGCACTAAAAAACCCAGAACATGTGGTTGTCAGGTGTTCGACCCAGACCAAATTGTAGAGTTCTATCACAAAATAGGATACTACATAATTATGAACAGTCCTACTGGATATTCATATTATGAGTTTTATACAAATGAATGAAAGTTTAACAGAAGTAGAAAAGTACAATTTAACAGTAATGTAATCACAGGGGTAACAATTCACTTAAGAACAATATCTTGACAATAATATTCAAGCACAAAATAAGGTTATTAAGATGAGGAATGATTATGTATTTAATAACAGTATTTTATACAAAATTTCAACAGATTGCTACACATAGACATGTGACGTATATGTATACAATGGTTCAACAACAACAACAACAACAAAAAGATATATGTTATGATCATGTTTTAACACTGAATTGCTTGATTATTAAGCAAACTAACAAGTTCAGTATATGTATACTTTTAAGTTACTTTATTGTAATAAAATAATCACATCAAAATTAATAATCCTGAAATAAAATAATATAGAATAATATATACTCTTCATTTATTTATGTTTATAAGTGTGTACATGTATGTGTGTGTGTGTGTGTGTGTGTTTATATATAATACATTTTACAATAAAGCTTCAATTTTCTCACACTTGAATCTCGACATTATCAGAGTTATTATCCATTTGAAAAAGTTGCTTCCATTTACATGGAAAATATAATAAAAATCAACAAGATAGTTGCACTATTGTACAATCCTTATCACATCACACGTTGGCATTACACAGACTTTCTTCATACAGACCATGGACATAGACAACAGGGTAAGTTAACACGGTTTAACCCAATCTCACTTGTCACCACTTGGATGTCTGTCTCCATAGAAGAAGCACCAGGCTGAATCCACCAATCGACTGGTTCCCAGGACCCACGAGGTACAGTAGTTCTACAGCTAAGTAATGAGCAGTGCTCTGGGTGGTTCAATGAGGAACAGAGTTGATCATGACCCAATGAGAAGCAAAATCGAGGACACAGTCGGCCAGATTCCTGAATCAGGCTCAGTCTAGGAGGGCTCTGGCACAATGGAGGATCTTCATCACTCAGCAGAGGACACAATGCTGAAGGGCTGATGGTTGGGTCAAATGAAGATTCAAAAAATGATGGATCTGTCTGGCACACTGATGTGCCATTGAGCACCGTCCCCCCACTATGAAGTGGGGAGAGGGCTGACCCAGAGGACTATTTGGATTTCCGTGTAGTAGGACTGTCAGGAGGAGTGAGAGAATCTGGCTTTACAGCCAGAGATTTGCGAGCAGTAGTCTTAAATGACAGTTTCTTCAGAGGTCTCGGAGAAATACCATGCAGTCCTCCATCAGCAGATTGTGGCTCGTTGCTAGCAAACCATACTCTAATACCATCTGGACCTAAGAAGAAACAAGAAAAAAATGTAGGTCATGATATTCTTTAAAATCAGAGAAACATGATACACTAAGAACAATACATTAAAACTAAAAACAATGAAGAAATTTTGTAGAAACAACACATTTTTTAAGCAACAGTTTCTGAAATGTATGTTGAATACAATAATTTTTTGATAACTTCATTATAATACAAATAAGTTTTCTATCTTGCATGCCAATTGTAAGGCAAAATGTCTCTCTATGAAGCATTTTAACATATTCCACGATCGTTTACTGCACTTCTTTTTTGTTCCTACAATGTCCTTGGCTTCTAATTGGTGTCTAACTCCTTTAAAAATTGACAATTGACAACTTCTTTTCTGCACTCAACATTTTGTTCTGGAAGTCTCACCTCGTAGACGAGCATCCCCAGTGGTTGAGGAAGATCCATGTCTTGGCTGATGAGAATCAAGGAGTGCAGCAGCCAGAGTGGAGCTGGGCACAGGTGGACAGCTAGGCTCCGGGCTGCGAGAGCTCAGGGAAGTTCCTAAAGGATGAGGGAGGAAACAGTTAGTAGGCACTATTTGGGCAGTTAGTAGACCACTTTATAAAGGTCAAAAAGCTTAGCCCTTGTACTCCTATTTACTACCAGTTCCCATGACTTTTTTTATCATGTTAGTTCTGCGGGTAAACTTATTCACTTTTTTCTGTATTCAATCAAGATTTTTCAGATACCTTTCTGTACAGGTCCCAACAAACCACTACATATTCCAAGAAAGCACGAACCAGCGAAAGATATGCCATTTCTTTGGCGTTTGTTGAACTTTTCTTTAGAATTCACATTACGAAATACAAAGACTTCCATGTTTTTCTCACTATCTGATTTACATGCTTCTCCCACCCGAATTTCTGTCTGGATGAATGCCTAAATACTTGTATGATGAGACTTGTGGAATAATGACCTCACTTAAATGATAACGTTCCTCATAATTTTGCCCCCGCTCGAAGGTTATTGTTTCGCTTTTCGATCCGTTAATTCCCATGTCACTTTTTCAGCCCAATCACGAATCAGTTCTAAATCCTGTTGTAATATTTGTTCGTCAGCGCTACCTTTGATTGATTGTTAACATAGAGATCATTCACATAAACTAAGAAAAGTAATGGCCCTAAAACACTTCCCTGTGGAACCCCTGAAGTAACAATACCTGCAGTCGAAAACTGAGTTCCAATTCAAACTTCTTGTTCCCTGTATTTAAGAAATTCGCTTATCCACTTCACATCTCTAGCATCAATTCCAGAAGTTAATATTTCCTAATAAAACGATTATACAACACTACGTCGAATGCTTTCGCAAAGTCAATTATGACTGTATTCACCCTCCCATTAGGGATGTGACATTGATGTGGACGTTTTCAAAACAATGATATTTTTGCAGAAGCATTGATGTTTTAAACATTGATTTATTCACACCCATATTTTTTAGCATCGTTGTTTTGTGATGCTATTTTTCTCTTCCGATATTTTATTTATGAATGAAAAATTCCCATGATCACAATACTGTAATAGTTAAAATATGAAATAATAACTGATAGTAACACTGTTATTGAAGTGTTGGAACCAAAGGAACGCTGTTTGCACTACCTTTTTTGACTAAACTCATTCTCCCGAGATGATCTCCATCTTCGCCCCCTGTATTTCCTCTTTCTTCACATTCCTTTCGCACATTGAGATATGTTCTACAAATACGCTGTGGACGTAGGGTCTGCTCCTTATTTTCGTACCCTCATTTTGAGAACTGATAAACAACCTCTGTTAAATTAAATTTTAATGCGCACGAATTTAAATTTAGAGGTTACTATTCCAGTCAGAAAACATCGATGTTGAAAAACATCGTTGGTTTTTAGTCTATGTATTTTTAACATCGATGTTGCGTCACTATCTGCCACCCGCGTCAACTTCGTCAACTAGATCTTGAAAAAGGGAAACAAATCCGGTTTGCTTTGTCCCATTTGCGGTGAATGTATCCGGATATTAAATGCCCCATTATTTTACATACTACTGATGTGAGATGTGTTCTATAATTACATACTTTCCTAATTTTTGAAAATTGGAACAATATAGCTGTTTTCAGTCTTCTGGTAAACTTGCGTTATTAATAGAAACATTAAATAATCTTCACAAATAGGGCAATATCACCACGCAGTTTAATCAAATCTGTCGAGAAGCCGTCTGGTTGAGGTGATTTACCTTTTTCCAGTGATTTTATGTGTTTGTGTAGTTTCTATGCATGAAGCTTGAATTAGTTTTCAATTGGAAAATAAGTAACTTGTTTCTATACCCATTTTGGTTTGAATACGGAAACAAAATACGAATTGATCTCTTCCTTTCGCTTGGTCGTCGTACAATGGTGCGTTGTTTGCGACTCCAATTTCCTGACACTCTTCCTTATTCCCCCTCCATCTGCAAACATATTTATAGGAGCCTGACGATTTATTTTTTATTTCCTTATTTCCCCTATACCATATAGTATTTTTGTGACTGTATTTTTGAAGATTGCATTTTCTTGGACTGAAAAAACTAACGACAGAAACAGTTTCTGCGTCTAACTTGTTTGCTAAAAGTACATCTTCGGTACATAACTTTTTCAACTTTACTTCCGAGTTCCTGTTTACAAAATACATTCTATTATTTTTTCTTTCTCTTATCTGATTTGTTAGGAATCAACTGACCTCTACTCTCGCGAGATTTTCCTAAAATCTCACAAACTCTTGCATATTTCCGCGTTTTATGGTATCTAAACTAGCTCATTGCTTCAATATTGTTTTCAACTAAACGTTAAACAGGTCTACATTGTGTATTCCTAAAAAAATGCAGCAACACAGCTATAAAACCCTTTTCCTTATTTAGAACAGACAACATGGAATCAAGTGTGAAAAAACAGAATCCGTGTTACGACACACGAAGCGGAGTGTTAAATATACACCCTTTGAAAGCCCATGGACAGGAAAAAACTCAACATTTTGTAACCATCGCCCAACAATAAAGTTTAGAAAATTATCTACTAGGAAGCGGCAGCGTCTTCGATTATTGTAAATCTAGATATTTACTGCAATATTTGTGCACACAATTGTTATCTTTAAGATATTTATAAGCAATTCTTTGTATTATGATTAGTACACATGGTAAATTATAGAGAACAATGTAAGGGGGTCAATGATTTTAAAAAGGTTGGGAATCCTTGCTTAAAGCATAAGAAAATATAATTTGCAATGCACATTCGAAAAATGTTTTGTAGAGTTCTTAAAAAATATTTAGCAATTTGTAACCATTACACTATAATTAAGATTAGAAATTCAGCTACTTAAAAGCAGAAGTCTTCAATTATTGAAAAAGGAAATATTTACAAGAATATTGGTGAACAAAATTGTCATCTGTAAGTCTTTTCTGTGCAATTATTTGTGTTAATATTATGAATGCAGTATATTGAAAATGCAAGGCAGTCAATGAAGCAAACAATTCTCTCAAAAGGGGACAATAAAAGAAAAAAGTTTGGGAATCCTTGGTATAACGTATCAAATATTATGAGAAAGATATGCTCTTGAAGCACCTTTTACAACTTTTACAATGTGCTCTACATTTTTTGTAATCATAAACAATTATCAATATGTTGTCATCAATGTTAAGGTAAGGAACTGGTTCTACTAAATTAAAAACTACTTAAATAAAAAAAATTGTCTGCTAAATAAATTAGCCATTAATAAACAAGTAAAACTTAACAAGAAACAATGTTAATCACAATAAATTTAAAACCAATTAACTGCATTTTATAATTGGTGTTGAATGATAATTTTTGATATCTTAATAGTTTTCATTGACACTAATCAAATGTTTCATTTCCCCTCATAATATTCAGAGTAGTCTTTGAAGTTTATTAAAAATGTCGGGGTAGGCATAAACAAAAATTGTTGAATAAGTACCATTTTCACTGAAATGTCATTGAAGAATAGATAATGTTCGAATGGTTATCTGATATTATTCGTAGTTTTAATTATATCAATAATTTTAGGTTTTTGACATATGAAAAACATGGTTGAAAATTTTGCATAATATATTACCTGATGATCGTGTTGGTCCAGGACAAAATGGTGACGCTGTTTGGACAGGTGAGTACACCTGAGCAGCAAATTCTTCAAAAGTTGTTGCTTCCTTGTGATTTCGCACAACCGTCTCCAATGATTTTGAACGTTCTTCATAGCTGAAATCGGGAAAAGGATTAATTTGGAATTTAAGATAGTTCTTTGAGAACCTAAACAATCCTAAAACCATAAATCACACATTCAACCAAAAACTTATAGGCTTCATATTTTTACGACGCAGGACTTTCTTGAAAATCATAGGTCTACATATAACCTTGAACCTCTTGTTAAACATACTGTGCGCTGTGACGTCGTCGTGGCGCGAGTGAAACACAGACACGGAGATATGTACAGATTTATTTACATTTTTCTATTCAATAATCACACTTCTGGGGAATTAGCGCTGCACTCCCAGCACTGCACATCCCAGAGGCATCCCCGTCACAGCCTCACACAGACCCCAGCAGCTAACCTCTCGCCTCGTGGCGAACAGCTACACCTCGCAGCCGAAGCTAGCGATAATTCCCTTGACAGGTGACAAGTGCCTCCGCACCGCGATTCAATTCAAACTCGAATAGTCCCGGCTATTTTCTCCCCAGCCTCACTTGCAAAGTATCACTGGCAGACCTCCCACGCTGGTGGCGTCATCTCATTACCAACTTTTGGGTCTGGATGCAATTTGGGATCCGCCGCCAACTGCCCCGAGCCTGCCCTACACACAATCCCCCTCTGCACTAGCTGATGTCCTCATTCCGAGAGCACAGCCCGGTCCGCCCCGGAGCTTTCAATAGTCTTCAGCCTGCCGCCAAAGGACCGCCCCCGCCCTCCGCCGGCTACCCAACTTGTGAGGTCCGGATTTACAATACCAATCATTTAAGTCGTAACGAAGCTCCCGATCGGATGACTGGGTCCTCCTCTCATTCGTACTAAAAAATCCATTTTTTTTACAATTTAAGGAAATTGTTATCTTTTATTTTCCTTTTTTAGCTCGCAATTTGGTGGGTCTTGCACTGACGTCGAGATGGTTTAATAGATATTTGAACAGCATAATAGATATTTTTCTCTTAATAAAATATGTTCTTTAAAGATAGATTTTGAAATAAAGGAATGTACAATTTTTCGAAAATTTGAGTATTTTTCATGTAATTTTGAATAAATAAAGGCAATTTTTAAATTTGTATATAACACATTCGATCCTGAGAGATACGTCTTTTGGTTAACTCTTGTGCCCTGGGCAATATAGCTGTTATTAAAAATGTAAAACAAATTAATGTACACATCAGTTGGAAATTTATACAATCTTGTAGTATAGTCTTTTATCTTGAAGTCTGTAGTATGAATTTTATGTTCATTTGATTATAAGATGATAGCGAGAATGGAATTCAAAGAAACACATGTTGTCAATTTTATACTTTTGCGGAAAGTAACAATGTTACAAAATATGGGGAGAAACGCAGTGAACTTCATGTGTGATCAATACTGGTGCACTATAATTACATTTTGCTTCAGTTTAGATATAGTTCATTTGCACATCTATTTATTTCTGCCTTTATTTTTCAAAATATACTGCGATAATGAAAATAATGAAAGATAGTCTAGTTCAATTGAGTTTTCATTTACAGGAAATTTTATTTCACTGGTAATTCAGATTGTTTATCAATTTCACATTTTAAAGGAAATGACAACTCTCGAATTTGAGAAGACTCGCCAATAGAATCATTAGAATCATTATTGCTCTCCTTGATATAATTTTCATTGCTCAAACAAAACAAAAGTCCAGGAATAATATCAATAGTGTTATCAGAAAAATTCAGTTCCGATTCATTATTCAAAAACTCTTAAACTTATAATGTTTAGATATGCTGTAAAATTTTACATACATGACTTCTAAACATTTAAATATGTCGCTAACTGCATGAACAGTACTTGCAAAGAAAATACATTCTGAATGTCATCAACAGTGCCAGAATGTATGGATAAACAATTGCTTACTGAACAAATTCCAAATACTTGCACACAATATAAGCACACATTGGCATTTGTCCTGCGACCAACTTAATGATATTAAAAAGTATATTATAGGAGCCTACAAACTTTTTAAAATTAGTTTGGTTGATGTAATTGTTTCTGTTATTGATGTTAGAGTTAATACATGCATGAATTTGTCCAGGAACATCTTGGAGAAGTCTCTCAAGTAAAACGAAAACCTATTTTCGGTAAAAAGTCCCAATATATTCAACGTGTACTGCTGAAATAAATGCATCAAGAATACATGGTGTTTCAGAACCTGTGACAAACTTGTGAACAACATCAACGTTGCATTGTGTTTCACCTCTGTTCACCATTGTATCATGCTACAATATTAAGATAAACTTACTAGTTCTGATACAGAGGCAACATGCTGCGCTTAGCACGTGAAGCATTGATAGCTGTTGCTCGAACAAGACCAGGCAGAACTTTATGATCTACTATTGCCTCGTTGAACAAGGGACCAAAGAATGGTACCTAGAATTTAAAAAAATGGTTAATAAATTATAATTCCTCACTACATTAATATAAATTCAATATATTGCTTATATTACCAGCATAAACTTACTTCTGGTTTGCGAGTCACCTGGACACGAAATAACTTGTTTGGTAGTGGATATATAACAATAAGTACATCACAAAACTCTGTAGGAATAATACCTCTCCGATAATCCCGAGTGTGTTCAGACCACACAATGTGAACCTCATCATTTCCAAGGTGACGAGTCTAAATTAAAACAGGACAGATATTAATTTTTCAGATTCCTTAATTGTACTAAAAATAGGCAAACACGTTCACTTGCAATTCACTTCATGTGATACATTAGTGGACATTTTGAATAAATATTACTGCTATCTAAATAAGAACACAAATTATTTTTGCAAAACACAAACTATCAATGCAATGCATATACTACTCTATTACACAAAATAGTTTGAGGAAGTCATTTAATTTTGAAATTACGTATAAAAATGTCTTCATCAGAATCATGAAACACAAAGTTGCAATTGTGACAATTGTAGAAGTCACATGCACACTCAATTAACAGTGGATTACCCCAATTATAGCACTATCTGTAAAAACTGACATTACAAAGGCACAGTATTTAGACGATTATTAACATTCTTGAAACCAAATGAAAGGAGACTAATAAATGCTCATCTAAGTCATAATTGGTTCAAAATTTATTGATCAATTCCAATGTTAAATAATCTTGCTTTAGAAAAGACTTCTATTAGTAATTGAATTATAAAACAATCTGCATGCAAGAACATTTAGGATTTCATAATGATACCTAAAATATAAGAATTGGAGATCACACAACACCTTACATAATTTTAATAAACGATCTGTCATTTATTTATCTATCTATTCATCTATCTATCTATCTACCTATTGACAACATCGAAGGCTGTTGCCAAAGTTTCGACCATCTTCTCATGGTCTTCCGCAGACCAGCCCCGAGGAAGACCATGAGAAGATAGTAGAAACGTTGGCATCACAGCCTTCAATGCAGTGTCACCCAGACAGCTAAGATCTTGATTCTGGCTGTGGAAGCTACAACTTCACTTATTGTTGAATGATAATCATGAAACAGTAGTCATCTTTCTCAGAATGGGTTATGTAGAAGCAAATTAAGTTATAAGATATTTCCTTTTCAAGTTACATGTGTTTTTTGTCTTCAAAATCAATGGAACTGAATAAACACCACCTTTTTGGAGGTTTTTAACTTATAGAAGTTCAAATTATTACAGTTTAACAGTAAAAACAATTTCAGAACAAAAATTAAAAATATTAAAATATGGAGTTAAATTGATCTTTTGATTTGGAGAATTCTGAAATTTAAGGCTCAATTTACAGATATTTTAAACAAGAACAACCCAGAATTAAGATCTTCTATAAATAAGGGAAGTTGATGTATGTCACAATGAAGAAAATAAAAGTCCATAACCTTCTGGAGAAGAGACTCTTGACTGGATGAAGGCATGCGAGTTGCCACATGGAAGATCACTTCAGTAAAAGAAGTTGCAAAGTAAGGAGCAGTCTCTCCTGTACTTTTGTTACGTTGCAAACCTCCTAAGAAGCCAGTATGAGATTCCAATTCGACCTGTGAAATACAACATACCACATCAGCCTTCAACTGTATGGATTAAAGATTAACTGCAAATGGCAATTACAAAAAGGAGGATTCACAAGCTTAGGAAACGTTTACTTTGTCACAGAATTCAGTTAACACAACCAGTCAAATATTTCAATTCTACAATGAATTTATTGAACTAATTATACAAATCTCAATTTTATCACCAAACCTTCAACTATTGAAATTTGAGTATACCTGAATACAAGTCGACTCTGAATATGTAATAACCCCCTAATGTTGAAGAGGCCTCCTGAGAATTTTTTAAAATTTTTAACCAATTCACGCTATTTATTGAAAATAAAATTGTTTAATTGGCTACAAATTGTTTAATTGGCTAGAAGGTTAAGATTTGTAGCCTGAACTAACATTTTCTTGTTCCTTAAAATTATCATAATAACCATATCATGGTTTTTGATACTATCCTTAACACCTTTCTATGTATCTATGTTTTTCTTTTTGGTCCTCCTTTCATGCTGTAACATCTACCGACCTCTAAGGCCTCTCAGAAAGTTTGCATGTTGATTTTACTTTATTCTTAAAATTTCATCTTTTGTTGAATTTTTTGTCGATTTTGAACTATGTATCATTTTCCACCAATTTCCATCATTTTTAAAGCACTTTTTTGCTAATTTCATCGATTTTAATATCATTTTAATGGAACATGTTTCAAATAATATTTATGAGATAATAATAATAATAATAATAATAATAATAATAATAATAATAATAATAATAATAATAATAATAATAATAATAAAGGGGTAGAGGGGTGTTAACAACAACAGTGAACCTGGGCAAGCCCTTTGTTCCCTCATCATTGATATGCCGACCCAGCCAGCCCGGTACCACCTATGGGCGGTCCCAAGAGCCCGGCGGTTCTGACACCCTAAGCAGAGGAGATCAGTAGATCTCCACTTCGGCCGGGACTATGCCCTTCCACATTTTGATGATTTCCGACAGTTTCATTTTTCTCAGCTGAGAAGGATCAAAGGTGGAGGCACCACAGACCCCACGCCTTTGCTCACTCAGACCAGAACAAAGGCATAGGACATGTAGCGCCTCCTCCGGATGAGCATCGCACCATCGACACGAGGGCGATGCCACCAGGCCCATCTTAGACAGGTGAAAGTTCAGGCGCGCATGGCCAGTCAGCAGACTCACAATCAGCCTTGCATCTCCCCTGGACATAAGTTCGAATTCCTTCGCCCATTCAGGGTGTAGTTCGCTACCCAAGGCCATTTTGGCCTGTTTATTTCCATCTTGTTCACGCCATCTCTTCAAGTGTTCTTTGTCCAACCAATCTCGAATTGTGGACTTGATAACACCTTTAGAGAGTCAGGAGCTTTCGATCACATTGCGTAATCTAGTGCCCATTTTAGCTAGTTTGTCAGCCATAACGTTACCCTTAACATTAGAATGGCTTCCTACATATATCTTCTTTACTGTCCTCTCTTCCTTCATTCTTGTTATATATCCAATCCATTCCAACCTTCTTATCGTAGGTGTTTTATATAGATTGTCTAAATCTGCATTTGTTCTATTCCTCCAGATTTAATTTTCTTTAACCGGTCCAAATATTCTTCATAAGATTTTCCTTTCCGGTGTGCCAGATTATTTTCCATTTTCTTCGTGAGAGTCCAAACTTTGGAACCATACAATACCACCTGTTTGATGACCAATTGACAATTCTACAGTTTTAACTTAGCAGCCTTTGAGATCCTTCTTGTCTTAAAAATTGTGCAGAGGTTGCGATAACATATATTCTCCTCATCATTATTCTCCTTTTAATATCCTTTCCTACTTCATTATTTTCAGTAATATAGGAATACAAATACAATAATAACACAAAATTTAACATCTTCACAGTTTAAAAATTAACATTTACATGGAAAGGCAATATAAAAACAAAGCCTAACCAACTAAGCTTAATCTAAGAATTTCAAACAATCCAAATTTTTTCCAGTGAAATATTTAGAAAAAAATCTGAATCTTATATTCAGGTCAATATGATAATATTTACATAAATTCTTTTAAATCTTACCTCCCAAGCCAGACCAGCAATAAATTCTTCATACGCCTGACTTCCACATGTATTAGATAGAATTGAATTTTTATCTTCTTGGCCCTCTGCCACATACACCACTGCAACTTTGTGTGTTTCCCGGCACCTCTGCAAAATAAGTAAAGGTATGAGAAGTACGGAAAATGTATAGATGTACGGTTTCCTCCAATGTAGTATCACCACCCTTTTTCTACGCCATTGTAAACCATAAATAGACAGTAACTAACAGTAACAGGTTCAAGTTATACACTAGCTAAGATCAGTTTGCAAGTAATTCTTATTGATATTGGCCTGTAATTTTCAACATTGGTAATGCTGCCTGATTTGTGTATGAGAGTTATGAAACTATTTCCCGGCAGTTGGAAAAAAATCTTTCGTAGAGAGACTTGTTAAATAGTACATGTAACATTGGTGTTATATTTGCATTTAAATTGTGCAAAAACGCAGATGGGTTTCCATCAGGTCCACGACCTTTGTTGGAGTCTAACTTTGCAATTACTGTGAATACTTCAGCCTGAGAAATAGAAATATTACTAGCATTTACAATTGAATTTGTATAATTATAAGCAGATGCAGCATAATGAACTTTGTCATTGAACACATATCTTTTTTATGTGATCATACTTGGCAAACCATTCATACCTCATTTAAATTTGGAGTACTTCCATAAATGTTTGATATTAAACCTCAACCAATTATTTGACCATATTGACATATGAGCCATAGTCTTTCCTCATGCTTGCAAATGCAAATTCCATGAATATAGGAAAAGTAATTGTAATTCTGGTCTAATCTTGACACTTTATATTTAAAGTGTGTTTTTATGCTTTAACACTTTAATTAATTTTGATGAATACTAAGGCGGATACTTAGAGGAACTATTTATATATTTAGGGACATGTTTTTATATTAGACTACTAATTATTGTAAAGAAGTATTCAGTAGCTAATTCAGCTGATTACTATTAAAGATAGGTATCCAGTTCAATGAGGTTAACTCCTGATTTATGGATACATATTCAGCTTTTTCAAAATTATATCTAGTTTCTGTTACATTTAGCGTCGCAAAGTTGTTTACAATTGTAAAATATGTATCTAATGCTAGGTGGTAATTATCACATGGAGCAATAGGTAATTCAACTTTTTTGTTATACAATTGTGATCTTGGTTAAAAACTAAATCTAAAAATATTTTGCAGTGATTGAGAAACGCATTTACTTGATGTAAATTTAAGTAATTTTGCCAAGACTGAACTTGATATAGATCTCATCTGAATGTGCATCTTGATAGATACAGCTTACTTCATCACCATTGCACCATGACGTACGAGGCAGATTAAAATCACCTAACGACAGGAATTGTAGACTTGAATCTGTATCAAAAAAAGGTTCTACGTTCTCAGGAAATTCTACATATGATTGTAGAGGAGACTTAAGTGGTAGGTAGCACCTATTATCAAATTCATAGTACCTAACTTCACTAGGATAAACAGTTGTTTGGTTGAACAATTTGATACTGTTAGTTGCATACTAGCATATTTATGGTGAATCATCACTGCTACACCTTCTCCCCTACTGAAATAACTTGTGGCTTCACATCTCTCCATCCGAAAAATGTACCTTCAAGGTTCTTTGGATCGAGTCTTAATGTTAACGTTTAGAATTCCAATATCTAAAACTTATTTCTGGTATAACTTGGTAGACTTCTGACTTGGTAGACTATATTCTGTATTCAAGATGTGACTTGCTGATGAAATGAATACTAAAAATATGTTCTGGAAATCCATTTAAATAAAAAGCAAGAAATTTAATATTAAATGACATAAAACAATTTACTACAACTGTTGAATATAGCAAAATTATTATATCTGATTTTACTTTGTATTGTTTTATATTACTGCATGCATATTGTTTGTAATATATTTTGAAACGGGGTGGTTGCCTTTTTAATTGAATGAATACATAATGAATACATTAATTTTGCAAACAATAGAATGGATTAGAACAGAATAGAATAGAACACTCTGGCAAGAACATATGAATAAAATGAAAGATAGCTGCTTTCGAAAGGCTATGACGACTTACATTCCAAGTGAAAGACGAGATGTGGGAAGACCTAGAAGTCAGTGGAAATGTACTATCAAGACATTGCAACATGCAAATGCCTAGATTTTGAAGCAAAGGTGACGATGATGGCTATTGGAACATGTGGGAACATGGGGTGAACATGTGTCGAATGTGTAAGCTTGACTGTGTGTGTGTGTATATATTTAAGATTTGAAAAAATGTGCACGAGTATGTATAAGTTTACGTGTGCAAGTGCGAGTGTGTGGGCATGTGTTGATGCTTTTGAGAGGAAGAGCAAGAAAGTGACAGTGTGTATGAGAGGATGTGAGAAAGTGTGTTAATTTATGACAGTATGCATGTAAGTGCTTGTGAATATTGTGTGCATGTTGGGTTTGTGTGCACATTTTGAGAATTACATATGAATGTCTGGGCTAGTGTGTGTCTGAATGTATGTGACCTGACCATGAATGTGTGTGTCTGCTGCATGTTGAGAGCGTTCAGTCATGTAACCGGTTTTTTTGACAGCCATCATGCCTGGAGGCGTGGCCTGGTGATTAACATGCACAAATGATTCGATTTCATTTTACGAATGTTGGCTAATGTGTCGTGGCGCTGTGGCACAACCTAATGTATTGTCATTCTGACAAAGGAGAAAGTTCAAAGAAAAATATTGCATTATAGCGATAAAATGTTGTTGAAGACTATAATATTATAATGATAAAGTTATATTAGTAATTTATTTATATTTGCATGTAAGAGACTTCATATGTTGTTTTGTATAATACAATAATTTTCTCAGGACAAAATATTACTCTGAACTCAATTTTAAATGCAGTTAAACACGATAGTGATATAGGGTTTACAGGGGGGAAACTTCTTTGTCTTATCTGCTTTATGCCATGGGGTTTGCATAGAAAAAGGTGGATAATTGCAGGTCACTAATGGAAAGAAATGATAGTTGTTATTGCAAGATCTGATTTTTAGAAGGAATATATGAAACTGAAGGCTATTAATTTGTTTTTGGATGAGACTTGGTTTTATTCAAACGGCAAGCAAAAAATCTACTACATTTTGTAGTGAAAATTATAAAATTCTACATATAAAAGAATGGAGAAGGCACAATTTGCATGTAATGAAATGCATCTTTTGAGAAATAGTGGTGTGGGTAATGACCTATATGTATGATGAATATTGTTTGTCCAGTTTGAAGCACCTACTTAGTGGTTCAATATGATTTTATTTTAGAAGATCATCTTTACTAATCGTTTTTAACAATCTATCCTTTAGGTTATGCCTCTCAGTCATGGCAAGATGAAAATGAGAGTTGCTCAAGCAAAAAGTATGAAGGTAAAAGGTATATAGTCATACATGCAGGAAGTGCAAATGGTGCCTTCGAAGATGCAGAACTATTGTTTCCATCAAAGATGAAAGAAGACAGTAGAGATGTTCCAAAAGTGGATGAAAGAAGAATTATTACCTCGGTTAGCAGAACCGTCAGTTATTGTAATGGACAATGCACCTGTTCAATCTGTGCTGGTGAGTGACATTTCATCAATTTTTCTTTTCGAAATGTGAAAAATATTCATTCAAATAATACATTTATTCATTTATAAAAATACCTGATTATAAAACAAGTATTAAAACTACACAGTGGTGAAAATTGATGTTTCACTTACAAGCGTGGAATAGAAAATTTATTACATTCAATGGTGTTCAGAGATTTTAGTTATACTAGTAATACAGTTTTTCTTAGAGAACAACAACTTTGCCAATAGAATGTTTTATAGGTATTTATAGAAAGAATTAAAAGAAATGCATGTTATCATTGAATACAACTGAAATATTTAAACATCCTTTTGTCATTTCCCATTTTTTAGCAAGTGAAAAGGCCTTCATCAAAATGGAGGAAGGGTGACCTGCAGCATTTTCTAACTCAGCACAACATACTCTTTAAACCTGAGCATACCTTTAAGAGTCTTCTGTTGAAAACTTCCGAAGAAGTTGTTCAGAAAAGGTACTCTTAAGCATAAGTTTTTTTTGAATTAATCATTGAATAAGTATTAGTTTTAGCATGCTTTTGATACAATGTGGTTGCCAATGTTTTCATTATTTGAAAAATCATACCAGTTGATGTGGGTGCAGATATGTTGTAGATGAAATGATTGAAGAAGATGGACACAGAGTTTTGCGCCCCCCCCCTCCATTGTCACTATAATCCTATCAAGTTGGTATGGAGCCAGTGCAAAAGATACTATCAGAGACATCGCGGAACAACTTTTGACCACCAAGCAGTGACAAGAAAATGGAAGGAAGCATTAAACCAGATTTCAGTGGAGAAGTAAATGATTATTAAAATGAAAAACAAAATATTGCCTAGAGTTTTTTTTGCAGAAAATTTGTTAATATAAAGTACTTATTCATTCAGTACATTGCTTTAGTTAGAAGAATTATGTGGCACACACAGAGAAAATTATAGAAGAAATTTGGTAAGGAAGTTAGGGAGGATGCTTCAGGGATTTCTGTCACAGTAAACACTCAGGATGACTCTGATGATGATAACGTTCCTCGCACTGCTCCCATGCCTGGGCCCTCTGGTGTCTCTACTTAATAGAGATATGGTCATTATCTTTACATGTTTAATGCAGTATATTTATTTCATCAGTTTGAAAAAAGATTTGACATAACTCTTTCTTCTCAGGTGCAGAATTGGAAGTTTGTATTAATCCATCAAGGGCAGGTAAGTGGTTACATTCCAGGTGAAATAGTGAATCTTTATTGTTTTTAAGCTGATCTAGGCATTTCATTATGTCTGCACATGTTAACTTCTTTTGTAAATCATTTGGTAATTATTGTACAACTTTAATTTTTTTTTTAAAGGAAGACTTTTGCAATTATATGAAGTTAATTTTTTATGTACATGAATCAGGTATGTAAAATGATGTGTGAATGAAAGAATGTGAAGTAAAGGTTAGATTGTGAATGAATGGGTTGAAAATATATTCTAATAATATTCATCCATACTCATCAAAAATGAACTTCAAGTAAAAGAAAAATTAGTCCTTTTAATAAAAAAGAATTAGAAATGAAGATTTAATGCAAAAAGTTTTATCTTTTGAGCAGTTTGTTAGTTGCTTGTACTGTATGTCTTAATGCAATACATTATTAAACTCATCAAAATCAGCTGTTAGGTCTGCTTCCATAACCAAGAAAGTGTTGTTATATAAGAAGATACAATACGTACGTTGTTTGATCCCCTTTGTAAAAATTCACATGTATAATTTTTATTTCAAAACATTTACTCCTCACCCTGGCAAAGGTGTTAGGCTGAGGCTGGAGATATTAATATTAGGTTGTGAATTTTTTCTAAAAGGACTTAAGAAACTGATTTTGATTTTGTATCGTTTGACTTTAAATTATCTAAGTTGATAAAATTTATTGAACTTTAAATGGATTCGGTGGAAGTGTTGGATCCTTCAAATAAAAAACCATGCAAATAAAGGGAATTCTTTTTTCACTAATACATTTGCTTTTTTATGTTGCCTTTCACCTAACTTCTAACCGACTTTTATATTTAGATAATAAAGTTATTGAAGGTATGAAACATTTCAATTTTAATTTCTAAGGCCAGAACTTGCACAGTGATCATGAAAAAACATTCATCTTTCATTATTTTCCATATATATTATTTAATATCCTTTTAATGACAGGTGAGTACAATAATTAATAGCACTTTTTAACCCATTTTTTATCTTACTTTTAAGAACAGACTTTATTTATGTATTTAAGAAATTTACCTGAAGATACTGGTCAATTGAGTTAACTGAGAATTCTGCCAAACAGTACTCCAGAATATCTACTAACATGTATTGTTTTCCCCACAGAAATCTTTGAATGCAATGTGAAAATTTTCCAAGGTTGTACAATGAGAACCCAGAATTATGAAAAGAAAACAGCAAATTAATGGTAGTTTTATGTTAATTATACATGTCTAACATGTCAATTAAGCCTTCATTTACAAGTCACTTACTGAACAAATTATAGTATTTAAGTATTAATTCAACGAATTCACAATTAACTAACCATATTTGTAAGTCACTGATCAATAATTGATACACTGGCTGTCAGTCATAAGATGAACAACATGAAAATGAAATCGCAATTATAAACACCAGATATCATAACTACAAAATATTATACAGCACATATTAATTTGAATCTTCTGAACACGCAAGATCGAAAAGTACTGGCAGAATTCCAATAATTTTTACGAGGGAGCTTTGCAGTATATTCCATATCATTCTTGTATCTGATGGCTTAATTCAATCAATCACACATGTTCTCAACAGTATTTCGAAATGTTTTGAATCACTTAGTATAACTTTTCATCATTAATGAGACGGAATTAAATGAATCTCTCGTGAAATCTGTTTCTAACACCCACACGATCAAAATTACATTTAACAACAAAATTCAGTCAACCGTGGCCAGCTGTCAATGCCACTCAGCTGACTGGCGGAAGAAGTTTTAGCGGAGAGCAATGCGGTCTTAGGCGACGCTCATCTGTTATAGAAGCTATTATTATAATCGTTTACTTTCCTGAACACTATGTTTCATGCACGTGTGCTTATGTGGATTTGCATGAAAATCTGAGGAAACATACCTGGGTGTCCAGATTACGTAGTTCACGGAGAAGTTTCTCATTCTTTGCCAACAAATGGAGCTGAGAGCGGTGCTCCCAACCAGCCAGCCCTAGCTGTGAGAATAGCAGCCGACAATGCTGAAAAGGGGCCAGTTCAGGTACAGCTCTAATGTTGCTCCCGTTGCTTGAGATGTCTTCCAAGGAAACAAGTGGAGAATGTGCACGAAACATAGGCCCTGTTGCAGCAGTGATAACCTGTCAGAAAATAATTTTACATATAAATAAATGAAAATGATGTAAATAAAATTTCACAAAGTACAGGACCTTTGCATCAGGAGTTAAAATCTTACTTTACAAAGTATTAAGAGAATTTACATTTAATGACTCCTTCTTAACGTACTCTAGCCCCAATATCTTCAAATTATTTCACGTTCAGTTATTTTAAAATATTAGTGGTTCCCATGAATTTTTGATTTTTTTGGTTTGGCTGAAGTTTTACTAACATACGTCAGCCAGCAGCACATACTTTAGAATGCATCATCTAGGAAGGCGGACACCTTTTGAGTCACTCTGTGCATCTGGGGTCATGCGCTTCTATATCAAGGCTACACTTCATTATGTGAGGAACATTTTATTACTTGTGGTTCTGCTTCTTTATACCACAATTGTTTGTAAGGTGGCTCTGATTTATGATATATGATTCCTTTCCATGAAAATTTAATATGGCCTTAGCATTGATACAAATTTGATCTTTGATACCTATACAGATCTTAATAAAGCTTCTGATTATGTCAATCATGACTTGCTGCTGCAAAAATTTGCTTTTGATATAATAAGTTCTTTATACAGATGGTTCTGTAGCTATTTAAATTGAATATATAAAAAGAGTTTAATATGTAAAATATCAACAAATTATTTTAAAATATTGTCATTTATCTGGAGTATCCCAAGGATATCATCTAGGTCTTTTATTGTTTGTTGTATGGTGAAACTCTGTTTATACATTGTTTTTTGTAAGTCGCAGATAATTTCAGGTCCGTGCTTTACATTTATACGTTTTTTATGATTATGTGTTCATAATGATTAGGGAGTGGATTTCTATGATTTTGCATATTTTTGTCCATTGCTTCCGGGCATAGCTAAATGAAATTTCTTGACATTTGGTTTGTATTGGATGCTACATACAGTCTAACATGTTATTGCATATTTGGCCGATTTTTTCTGTTGGTATATATTGTATGGTGATTTTTTCTGTCGGTATGTTGAGATATACAAGCATATTTTGTATATCTCGTTAAAATAGAGACTTATCTCTAAAATGTTTTATCTTTTCTTAGTGTTTATTTGTGAAAGTTAATTGATTAGAATAAGCATGTCACAGTTTGCGTTTTTTGTCTTTTCTATAGATGATAAAATACTTGTACGACTCTAGAATATTTTTTTTGATATATTTTTCAAACCAAGAAATGCCACAATATACACTATGTACTTCGCTAAGATGAATATTTACTTCAATTATTTCTCCCGGGAAGCAAAGTAGATTGCACTGTTTGTACAAAAATATATATTTTAATGGCAAACATGCCACTCCTGAATTTTATTCAGAAAGTTTTATACAGGAAATGAAATTTTGTTAATTGTTATTACATATTAGAGTGCATATTTTGGATTTTCTAGATAATTGCATCTTTTTAATAACATATTTCAAGATTTTTTTTCTTAAGGCCATATACATTTTTTGAAAATTTTAGTAGTTTTCATGCAATCTTAAGGGCAATTAGTGCAATTTTAAAAAAATTACAAAAGCATGATTTTCTCAAAAACAGTTCCTAATTTTTTCTTAAAACTTTTTGTTGGGATAGTGCTAAATGCACTCTATGAGGTGACATAAACGCCATATTGCTTGATTCTTTTGTTGTTTTCCCAAAAATTACAAAAATGTATTTAACCTATCTCACGTCGTAAATATTATTATAAGCTGCGATTTACTCACATTATTATATTTATGAGTACAAGTGCTTTAAATAATGTCAAATATGTTTTCTCGAAAACTCACTCCAAATTTTTTCTTTAAACTTTTTGAAGGGATAGTGGTAATTGGACTGTTTAATATGATGTAATATTCATTTTGGGGTATTTTTTTGCTTTTTCAAAAATTACACAAATGTAATTATTTTGAAAGATCCCTCATGGCTTGAGTATGAACATTTCCAGCGATTAGTAAACATTATTGAATTTGCGACTGGAAGTGCTTAAAATGACTTCATATGAAGTTTTCAGAAACAGTTTTCAGCGCCGTTGTCATAAAAAGGGTTCCAAATTTTTCAAAGAAAATTGCCATTTAGGACGAGGTTCTACTGTTCTTTAATCATCTTAAAATAATATTTCTGCTCTACTACTAAGAAACCGAAAAATTAAGAAAATGTCAAAAAAACTTGGGGTGGCGATTGATGGCAGCAGTCTGAGTAGCTAGCCGAGACCAAAGAATTTTCTGGAATACTAATACAGGAAAGTCTGTGTCATTCTGAAGCAGCAGGGGGAGAACAAAAGAAAAGAAATGTATGGGGAGTTTTGTGATATGTTTGAAAAATTGCCAAAATCACTCACCAACATATAGAAAGAAAAGAAATATTAGCAAACCATGGCTTATTTACAAAATGAATTAGGAAATCAGAACCAAAAGACGAGCTTGGAAGAAATAAAGAGAACTGGTACTGATAAACATTATGAGGAATACAGAAGAATATCGAACAACCTCACGTTCGACATAAGATTTGGAAGAGAAAATTATGAAAAACAAGTTGTGCAGGAAACAAAAGGTTATTCATATTATTTTATTTTATTCATATATTTGGAAACAGACCTCTTGTAAAACAGGGCCACCAAATACGATTCAAAGGAATGAACTTCAAACAACTTAACCAGAAGAAATCGCAGACTACTTTGAAATGGTATATACATTTGAAACTACTGACAAATTATCAGATATTGAAAAAAGATCCACTGAAATAGTTGAAGATGTTGAGTTTACAAATACTGAGACTGCTCAGACTCTCCTAGTACTGAATATTAACTCTTCACCTGGCCCCGATAATATTCCAACAATATATCCGAGAAACTGTGCAACACAACTAGCCCCAAAATTGAACGAAATCTTCAAACAATCACTGGAGACCACAAAAATACCTCGTGCAAGGAAGACTGTAGAAGTTATTCATATCTTCAAGAAAGGCGACAAACAATTGGTAGAAAACTATCCGATAAGCTTGATCAGCACTGTGGGCAAAATTATGGAGAGGAAAATAGTTCAAAGACAGCGAGAACATGCACAGAGAAATGATTTTATCCCCACAGAACAACATGGCTTTGTTCCTGGAGGGTCAAATACCACAAATCTGATCAGCTCAGTAGATGTATGGACTAAAGCACTAGACCAAGGGCAACCCACGGATGTGATTTATTTGGACTTTGCGAAAGCCTTCGACAAAGTTTCCCATAAATGACTAACTCATAAACTAGAGGCCATTGGGATAAGGGATAAACTACTAGCTTGGATCCGAGAATACCTTTCCGACAGATTGTTCCGAGTCCGCATTGGCGACAGCTTATCGACATCCAGAGCAGTCACAAGTAGAGTACCTCAAGGATCATTTCTGGGACCGCTACTGTTCATCTTATATATAATGACCTTGGAAATGAGATTGTATCAAGATGGAACTGTTACGCAGTTATTACAAAACTGTTTGCAAACCCATTAACTGATTATCAAACCTTACAGAAGGACTTTATCACAATGGAAAACTGGTCAAAGGAGTGGCTTCTTTCACTGAATTCTAAAAAATGCAAAATCCTCCATATTGGTAAGAAAAATCCTAGACTACCCTACACTATCACAGATCACACCTTGGACAACATAGTACTTCAAAGCAATGTGGGTGTACTAATTTCTCATAATCTGAAATGGGAATGTCAAGTTGCAGCAGTGGCCAGGTGAGCAAACAGTGCTCTGTATATGATGAGAAAAGCATTCTCCGAATTACACAGCCTCACAGTTGGGAAATTTTACACGACATATGGTCGACTCATATTGGAGTATGCTAATGTAGTATGGTCCCCATATGATAAAAAAAGACAAACAATGGCTGGAAAAAATACAAAAAACGAGTAACTAAGATACCAAGAGAAAATTGCATAAATTCCAATTACCAGGAAAGATGTCAAAAGATGTCCTTATTGTTACTCGAACAGAAAAGAACTAGAACCGATCTTGTAGAAACATAAAATTTTGAATGGACATTACAAAATCCCACGATAAGAATCACTGTTTACAAGATCTACTGATAGACTACGATGACATAAGATGAAATTGAGGAAAGAGAAAACAAAGACTGGACAAAGAGCACATTCTAACACCAATAGAACAGTCAACGTATGGAATAAACTACCAGCAGAATGCAGTGAAAAGGAAACACCGAGTGCGTTTCAAAATAACTTGGACAAAATTGACTTATAAATAGTATATATTTATTTATTTATTGTGACAAATACATCAATAATAGTACATCACACATATTGGCCTACATTGGGATGTTCATAACGCGGATGAGGGAGAAGTTATTTACGGCTAGGTGGCGCATGGTTATTAGTTAGACGGTCTAAGCTCAATTATTTTTTATTATTTCACTCCTTAATCGCAAGCAATAGGAGGTAGTAAACCTTTTCAAGAGCTTGCTTATATTGCTTTGATGAGAATTCAATGAGCATAACAAACAAAATCAATCTGTAACGCGGCATTCCGGAGATGGGTTACTAAAATGGTAATTAATAAGCAAAGAAAAGAGAAGAAGCCTCTCATAATAGTGCAAGAAAATAATATAATTAGAGAAAAAAGCTAAATAAATAATATCAGGAATGACTATAGATCACAGAACAGTGAAATAAAGGTAGCTTAGATCTCGACAATATAGTGGGAATTTCATATATGCATTGTACTGTGCCTGCTTGCTATCGAGAAGGGATCTTTAGGATGAAAACGAACCGTGAGAAAAATGAGAGAGTGTTTCTTCAAATTTTGGGCGCATAAGAGCAGAATAGACTTGTCAACTTATAAAAGGTTTCTAAGAAGAGTGAAATCAATTTCCTAAAATATGCTGGAATTTTAAAACGGAAATCGTATATAACAGTGCAGTCTTAGTTTATTATCCACTGTAGTCTGGTATTTCCTTATTTGAAGTTCACCCTTGATAGATAAATAT